TGCGAATTGTGGTCCTTGCCGGGCTCCCCCGTCGCACTGGGAGCGTCTCCTGGTTTTAAAAGTATTTTGCTGTTTCTCAGTCAGTTATTTTGACACTAATCAACGCTGTGGATCTTGTTTTGTTTGGTGTCTGGGAGCATCATAAAAAGAGTTGCTGAAAGAGTTCAATTATAATATCAGCATTTCTGCCAAATGTATTGAGCTGTTCTGAAAAGCTACTTGTCTTTTCTGACCTAGATACACAGTTTCCAACTGTGGTGGATGCTGCCAGAAAGACTCTTGGCAGAAGGCCAGAAATAAAATTATACTGCAGAAGAACACAAAACGTTTTCAGCAGCATTGTGTGTGGTGTGACAAAAAATTACCTGTCTTTTGAATGCAAAGCAGAAATTAAAATCAACTTGCAATTAAAGCTGTAGGCCTTTTTATTGTGGTGGTGGCGATGCTAACATTGAGTTTCATTGAGCGTAACTCATTCCTCAGCTGGTGTGTGAATAGCATTGCTGCACGTGACCCTGCCTCGTCTGGAGGTCTCCTGTGCCATCGGGCACTTCCGTTCTCTCTGCGGTGGCTGGGCTTTGCTTATGTCGCCTTGAACGGTCTTGGGTCATTTGCGTTGTCCTCCAGCCCGGTGTTGCCGGCAGATGTTGGACTGAGCCGGGGAAGATTAGAAAGGCAGAAGGAGCTTTAGTTTTGGCTAAGCACGACTGGTCTGTGCGTCCCTGATGTGGTGTTCAGACAGTTGTCATGTCCCCTGATCCCTTCAGCCAGCCTGGCAGGATGCCCGAGCACCAGTCCAGTGAGAAGTGGGGATTTAGAGGACTACAGTCCAGTGCGCTGTGACCCTGCTTTCACTTTTCTGTTATCCCAGCAGCATTTGTCTGCACAAAGCTCAGCTCCATGCTGCTGGAGGGCGTCGGGACCCTGAAGGTATTTCCAGTCTCCCTTCTATTAGTGTGCGGTGCGATTGCAGCTCTGGTGTGGATACCAGAGTCTGTAGAGTGTGCAGACCTGCGGTTGTGTGCTGTTCTCCCCATCACCTGCCCCCAAGGACCGCTAAGGGGCTGCACAGGCTATTGAAGCGATGGTCTCAAAGTCTAGGAAGCACAGCTGAGAGCTCCAGCAATGAGCCTTGATGCAAAGATCTCCTATTAAATTCTTTCCCTTGTTTGTCTCATGCCACAGCCAGAGCTGCCTCTTGTGAAGGACGGGGTGTTGAATGAAAGCATTTCTGGGCCCTTGGCCATGGCTGTCAGGTTGGCAGTGTTTGGGTGGCTGGAGAGCCTGTGTCTTTGAGAGAGGCTGTGTCTGATGCCCTCACCTCTCTGGTAGCCTGGAGAGAGTGAGTGTTGTCTCCTCTTCAAGTCTGTCCGTTCGCACCTCTATAGCATCTAGTGCCTGGGGATTTTGAGCAAGGCTGCGGGGGCTGATCATCCTTGTCATGCCCCTCGCCATTTCTCATGTGAGGGGTGGGAACGAGCGACTTGCCCACAGTCACCCGTAGCCTGGTGCTACCCTAAGGGATCTTCCTAGAAATTGCTTTCCAGCCTCTGGTGAAGGTAGTGCAGGCCCAAGTGGCTCTCCCCCCACCCCTTGTCCTCCAAGTTATCCCACTGGGACGCTGGCTGTCTGCTCCCCACTGGTGCTGCTGCCACAGGGAGCTGCATTGATGGAGTGGAAAGCCAGCCTAGATGGCCTCTGGGCTCAGTAGCAGAAAGCGATGGTGGGTTAAATGAATGGCAGCCAGCCTCACCGACTCCAGTCTGCGGAGCCTGGCAGCAAGCGAAGCCCTGAGCACTTCCATCCAGAGGGCTGGGGCTACTCTAATCTTGGTTTATTTTTCTGCTCTTCAAATATGCTTTGTTCTGAGTGTTGTATACGAATGTTGGGGTTTTTTAAGCCAGCTGCATTCTGTTGGGTGGTTTTATTAAATATCCGCTCCCAAAGAGTGAGGCTTTATCAGGTTTTTCTTTCTGCCAACACTTCGCTGAAGTATTGTTGGGAAATTAATGACTTGAAGGAACATTGCGGGACAGCTCTGTTCAGGCTTGCAGACGTTTTCGGGTTTTGTTGTTGTTCTTTCCGAATAATTTTAACAATCAATTAGGAACTCCCTCCCCGATCCCAGCCCAATAAAGCGTTGGCGGAGCTCAGTCACTTGCTGCTTCAGAAAGGGCAGATAGAAACAGATGTTGATGCTTCCCTTTAATGCTGGTTTGGGTTTTCAAAGCACGGCAAAGACGGATCAGGACATCCCTGAGGTACATTCACTCTCCATGCGCGAGAGAGGGGTTGTCAAAGGGCCAAGCCTGCATTTCCGCCTGCCCAACAATTTACTGCAGCACCAGAATTTGCTCAGCCAGCCGTCTGCATCCATCTGCTTTCCATGCACTGTCATCGAGGAGCAGCAGCTTGCGGCAGTCCTGGGAGGGAGTCCAGGCTTGAGCAAGGCTTGGTGTCTAGAGAGTGTGGTGCTGGGCAGGCACTAAAACCCAGAGACAGTCTGTTGTGCGGTGGACATGGCCAGGTTGTTTGGAAGAGAACGTGTTCAGAGCGGCTTGATGGGCTGGGGAGCATACCGAGTATGCGATCACACTGCTTGCTAGTTTGAACACCCATGGTACACCAAGAATATAAGTAGTCGTGACACTCTTTGAAGGTGAAGGAGATATTCATCTGGCTCAGGTGAAACAGTGGCACAGCTGGGGAGCCGGAGGCCTCCTGGAGCCTGGTCCCATGTTTTTAAGGCATTGGGCCGCTCCCACGGAGAACGTTTGCCTGTGTGACCACGGTGTGACCTGGCGAAATGCTCCACACTGAACCTTGCGTTGGCATCTCTTCCGAACTGAAGGGGAGGGGTCGAGTGCTCAGCTGCAGGGCTGAAGAAGGTGGTGTGTATATGTTGGATGCAGAAAAGGCATTTCTTTTTCAGAAAGCAGCGCCAACCCTGGCTCTCATAGGCTCTGCTCTCATGCCTGGGGCGCTGCTCTGGTCAGTTCTTCGAGCCTCGGCCAGCTCTTCTCCAGCGGCAGAAGCATGTGGCTGTCTGGGAGCGGGAGGGCTTTCACAAGGCCTGGCAGCTGGCTGGCTTGGGCCGGGGCCTGCAGTCCCACACAGCTGTAGGGATACACGCATATGACTTTAATTGAGCAAGGGGACTCTTGACATCCCTGTCGCTGGGCACGCAAATGCGAGTATCTGTGTGCTGAGCATTGGCGTGACAGAGCCCCAGCAGGGTAAGGGTGAGACTTGTCATGGGTTTTAAGGTGCTTGGCAAATCTCTGCTGAGAACAGGAGCGTTGGATCTGAAGGCTTGTTTCCCTGGGATTGGAGATCCTAGCAGGCGCGTGGGTGTGTGATCTGCACAGCTCTGCTCAAAGGAAATCACGAGATGGATGGGAGATGCTTCCTTCTAGCCCAGTGTGAAAACAGGGCAAGCTGTCGGGTTGTAAGGCAGACATATCTTGGCTTCTTGTTCTCCAAGCTACCCACATTGCCTTCCAGGCCCCATTTATGACAGAGGCATTGGCTCTGTAAGAAGAGCCCCTTCCCTGAGCCTGCTCCAGGCGCCAGTCTGTGCTTGGTAGTCCTGACTGCATAGAAATGACACCTTAGCAGCTGGAGGGGCCTTTGTGACGAGGCCTGCAGGCCTGGATCCTATGGGCTCATGTCAGTGCATCTCCTGCTCCACTTACACCTGTCCCCTATCCCTCTTGCCCTACAATCATTTTTGTAAAACTGTTAGACCCTCTCGGTACAAGGTTTCCCCTGCCCTCCTCCCTAGCCCTCTGCTGTTTAGGCTGAAAGGCTGACCGGCTCCTTCCTGTTGCACTGTCCTACCTCCCAGGTGTCATGGTGTGGGGCAGGGGAGATGACGGGTACAATCTGGCTGCCAGAGCTATTAGTCTTGTATATCTGCTTCATTTCTTCTTAATTGGGAGAACAGTGAAGTGGAATCTGTTGCTGCTTCTCTCTTGGCATGCTCGAGTCTCCGTGGGACGCAGCATTTTAATTATTGTCTGTCACACCCCTGAGGTTAAGGCACCTACTCTGCTTTCAAGGCGGTTCGCCGGTTCCTGTGCTGTTGCCAAACATGCTTCTGCTCTTCAACAATGTCAGGATTGTTTGATCGACAATATGCAGCATATCACGAAGAGGGGCAGGATCGAGGCAGGCAAGGAAAACAAACTCGTGCCTGAGTGCACGTGTCAGGCAGCAGGATTTTACTGACGACTGCGTCTCAGCTTGCTGCAAACGTCTCTGAAAAGCCCGTGCAGTGGTGAGATGAGGAAGGCAGGCATTCCCTGTGCGCGCTGGGGCACGCAGCGGGCAGTGAGCCCGTGCTCTCCCCTCTCACGCGTTGCCTTTCCCCTGGCCCAGGTCTCTTCTCTCACAAGCCATCTATTCACAGTTGCGTCGTGCTACCTCTCCCTCTCCCACTCATGCCTGTTTCCCGGTTTGGCACAGAAAGCCACAGCTGCTGCTCGCAGAGTCTAGGGATTGCCGGGGTGTGAGAAGCAGCACGGAAACACAGCGTCAGTGTTGGGACCTCGAGTCCGGGGTTGACGTTTCGGAGTGGTGCAAGCGGGATTAGTCCCACATTTCTCCCAGCAGCTTGCCCATCTATTTGAGTGGTGGATTTGGAAGTTGCATCGCCTGCCAGGCGCTGGGGAGATCTGGACTGCTGGCTGCTGCTTGGCTGACAAGCCTAGATGAGGATGAGCTCTAACTGGCAGGGGGAAACAGCTCCCACACATGTGGGCATGTCACAAAAAGTTGCTTTCTATAGAGACATCTGCTTTTCGTTCAGGCATAAATGATGTGGTGATTTCCTCCCCCCTCCTACCCCCCCTTGAAGCCTGCTGCTTTTAATCAGTGGCTTGGCTTAATGTGCGGCTTTGAAAAGCCATTGGAATTAGCATGTGGTTTCTTCTTTTTCAAGTGTGTTCTCCCCCTCTCCCTCTCTGTCTCCACCCCCCTCCTCTTCTCTGCCTTTGCAGGTGTATTGCAGAAAGTGACTCCCGGATCATCTCGGCTGCATGAACTCTTGAGCTGTCAGGGGACTGAGAGGCTTATGAGGAGGTTCTGTCAGGCAAAACAGTGCCTAGCAAAGACACCGAGGAGGAGGGAAAAGGAGAAAGGGGAGGGGGAGCGGAGCTGAAACACTCAAGCAAACCATGGTAGGTATCCGTCTTGATTCATAGGGCACACTGAAAATAACTCCCCTCCCTCAGCTTGGTACAGAACTTGCTAAAGCAAGAGTGGGGGGTATTTTCTGACCCTCTGCCAAGTTCAAGATGGCATTGCATAGTTGAGCAAAGCAAATGGGGCTTGATTTATTGTTAGGTCTTTTTAAACCAGAGAGTGGAGCCTTGTGAGCCTGCAGCACATGAATTATTAAATACGAATGAAGGGGATGCTCATAACATTTTCTAATAAAACTGGCATTGGCAAGCTGTTGCAAATGGCGTGGGTGACCTTGAACTGTGGATTGCATAACCAAATGCTGATCTTCCCCGCCCAGTCCCTTCTCCACAAGGTCAAGTGTTAATTTTATATATAAATATATATATATTTGCGTGCTAAAAATTAAAAGCCTTGGCCCTGTGCACACCTATTAATAGCTTAGATATGATACATATGTAAGCAATACTCACCAGGGCATATTTGATGACTAAGTGGGGAGTTGTTTCCAATCTGTCTAGTTGTATTTGTTGCAAATTGTAAAAGGCTGAGACATATTGAATGTGTAAGGCTGACATGGAAAGTCTCTCTCAAACGCATTCTGAAAAGGGGCTAAACCCCACCGCTTCCTGTGAACCAGTTGTTTGCAGGAACAATTTCAGCCCATTGATTTTTTTTTTTTTGATTTTTTTTTTTAAAGTCTCCTAAATGTGACTGCTCTGAGATGATGAAAGCAGAATGAGTGCAACACTCTACTGGAAGTAAAATACAGATTTAAGGCTTGATTGCTAATGAAATCTAAAACACAAACATGGACTTCACCCTCTGCAGTATGTAGAACACCTGGGTAGGAGGGGAAGGCAGCAAAGTGCAGCTCTGGGCACTAGCTGGGTCTTATATAGGAAGCGTTCTGGTTCCTGGGAATTCTTGATGCAAATTTTCACTTAAGTCACCTTGCCAGGGACTGCAGTTTGCAAAGTAACCAGATGCCTTCTAATACATGAGTTCTAGGCTTACCACTATGGGGGTACTTCTTCCAGTCACTGTTTGCTTGACGGGATCGGGTGGGTATGCAGGAGTGAACAAGAAAAAGCCATCTTGCTGCTGAGCCACAGCAGCCTTAGCTAGCCTCTTACCTTCGCTAGCTGAGGTGACACAGGTGGCAGGCCCTCCTGGAATAGAACTCCAGTCCTGCCGGTCAGGGACATACTGGGAGGGGATGGGGGCAGCACACTCGCACCTTTGAGCAGGTGAGCCTCTCCCTGCGACCTGCAGCATGGGGTAGGAGCACTTAAGGTCAAGATGGGGACTGTGTGACACGGTTGCCTGTGATAGCATGGAACTGGATGTAACCACTCAAGAGATGCCTTCCCCTCCCACGTTCCTAAGCCCTGCTTCAGCAGGGATATGGCCTAGGGTCTCTGCATGCAATACTACTGCTGCAAGTGGGCATTGTTACAAGCCCATGAGGTTGAAGGAAGGATCCATCTCGACTGCAGGGTAAACGCAGCTTATAAAATTAAGCTTAGAGCAGGAACAAAACAGTTGGCTGGGGAGGATGAGACAGCAGGCTGCTGTCAGCAGTCTTGCTGGGAGTCATGTAGAAAGCTCTCCTCCTTGCACCAAGCATGGGGGATGAACAGGGATAGGGAGAAAGCTTGGCACCTGCTCTGCCAGAGGTTGGTATTGCTCATCATTCAGATCATCTGGGTCACGTGGCAAACCATAAAGCTCCAGTCAGGTCACAGGTCTCCATCCGACATCACTTGGATTGCGGAGCTCTGTGAGCCTGCCCCAGACCCTTCAGTTGCTGCATTTGTATCTCATTTCTTGTTCTGCTGTTTTCATGTTTCTGCACAGGCAGCGTACTAGTCACTTCTCAGTGCTGTTTACTGAGCTCCCTCCAGTCCGGGGTAGAGCCCCAGACTGGGGTGCCACGTCCCAGGCACAGCACAAAAAGCTGCTGAGGGCTTCCCACCCTGCGAGATGCTGTCTTTGCATCAAGCCCAAAACAGGGAGGGACAGCCGCCCTCAACATTTGTTCTTGGAGATCAGCACAGTCTCTGCTCAGCATAAGTCATCTCCCAGCTCTCCCTATCTTCACCCAGGCCCCTTGGGTTGCCTCTGCTGTGCACATCCTTACCCTTGTGTTTTGCCATTTCCTAGTGGAGCACAGAGCCCTTGAATTTCCGCTCAGAACCAGATCAGTAGGCCCCTATGAGCCACCCAGCTATTCCACCTGTGAGCTGGAACAAGGGGCAGAGCTTAGCAGGTCACAGAGCTCACTGTGTTCTGCAAGCGCCCCAGGGAACATCTCCTTTCCTGCCCTGTTACTATTATCTCTCCTCAATTCACACATGCTAGAGCCCTTGTCACAAAGACCTTAGTTGAAGCAGACAAAGCAGACAAAAGGTTGGGAGGAGAGGTGTGGGACTCCTGCCTCCCAGGTAGACCTCTCTGGTCCTTCCTGCTCCACCCAAATCCATAAGAGGTGCTGTGCAAGGCCAACCCCCTGAAATGTTTTTGCAGACCAGTGCAGGTCAGATCAGCTATGGCTGGAAGGGTGGATGCTAGCAGCAGGGAGGGCAAAAGCTAGTTGCAAGGCAACCATTTGTGTACAGGAGCCGTGTTCTCCTTTCATTTTTCACATTCTGAACTTGGGGGTTTTCCTGTTTCTGGTCTGAAACCAGGATCAAGAAAGCCACAGCCTGCACTCACGACATGCAAGGAGCAAGCACAAGGTCCTTTTGTACTCTGCTGCCAGTTCAAGCCATTCTGGCTTTTCCAGCGCTGCACCTCTAGTCTGCTGAGTCTCTATTTCAGACAGAGGAAAAATAGTTCCTGCCATGATTTTAGGCTTTGTGTTCCTAACACTGTCCTGTATATGTTGGGGAGGATTCCCTCTCAAATAATGTCCTTCTGTTGATAAGCCAATAACACTTCTTTTTTCCCCACTTTTCCCCACCTCTGTAACAGAGATCTATCCGATCTTTTGCTAATGATGACCGCCATGTAATGGTGAAACACTCAACCATTTATCCATCTCCAGAGGAACTTGAAGCTGTCCAGAACATGGTATCGACAGTTGAATGTGCCCTTAAACATGTCTCTGACTGGCTGGATGAAAAGAACAAGGCTATGAAAAGTGAAGGAGATGTGGAAGCAAAGGAGGAAGCTGTAGAGAGCAATGCCAAGTGAGTGAGTTCAGCCTCATAATGCATTACTGTGCTGCTCTGAATGGATTCCTTTCCATCTAAACAAGGGCCATAGTGTCGATCCTTCGGCTTTATTGGGAACAAAAATTCAAAACAGGAAGTAGATGTGTCTGAAATCTTCCTGAGATGAGAGTACATTAGGTGA